TGTCACCTAAAATATGATTACCCTTATAGCAACCAGTATACTTTCCTGAAGGATTAAATTATACGCTTGTGAGCAACTCCTTCGATATGTCGGTATACAAACAATATTTTGGGGGGGTCACCTTCTCCCCTTTTGTCCTCGAATCCCATATTGAATGCTTTTTTTTTTGAGAAATTACGAATAAGATCTTGGATAAGGACAAACCAGAGAATACCATCAACTATCTGCATTCATGGGTGATTTCAGACACTTTGGTAAGAGTGGAGTAGCGACCTTGGGGTAAACGTTCAATCTATCCTGCAAGGATGATTGCATGGATTTAGGGATAATGAAAGAGGCTGTACTGACGATAAAACGATGGAAAAGAGTAGCTAATGTAGAGCTTGAATTAGGGACAGAAGAACCCATCGCTGACCCTGAAGTAACTGGATACCAATACCTTGGCCTACTGGAGTTGGATGACAATGTCGTTAATACCAGCGATTATTCTTTGGTAAGGTAACGTGGACAAATGAGATAAAATGTCGGGACAGAACGACCTGAAGACTACAATTTGAGGATGGTGCACATAATGTGATAAGTGTTTACACAGAAGGAAATGACGGCTGGAGAGGATTTATCAGTATTGAAGGGTGTACAACAACTGATTATAGGACATTGAACTTGTACCAGGTAGACAGTGAAGAGACACTCCTAAAGTATGTAGTGAAACACAAAAACTTTGTTAAAGCGAACATTCATAAAAAAGTAAAATAAAGAAAGCGGAAATTCAAAAAAGAAATTAAAAATTAACAGAAGTAATGCCGCTTCGTGTATTCTTTGTGTGGGACACTAAGATCAATAAGTCAAAAGATATGTGGGATTGGCGAATTAAAAAGCGAGGCTGAAAACTTAATGTTAGTCGCCTAAAACCAAGCCCTAAATACTAAATTTGTGAGGAAGAACATCTACCACCAATTCGATACAGACAAGTGCATTTACTGTGTGGCATGGATGTGGAAGCTGTCACCCATATCATTGACACTTGAGCAGAAAATAATACAAACAGCGTCATGATACAGTTGTCACCCAACTGCATTGTTGACTATTTAGAAAGGTGACAAGTAATAGGTACCGTCACAAGTTAAGGAAAACAATCAAAAAAGACAAAGTCAAGATCTTGTGGGATTCGAAAGTCAAAACCGATCGCATACATGAGACCACCAAACAAGACATCACCGTCGTTGAATAAAAAAACAACAGCAAAAAAAAAAAAAAAAAAGGAACCCCAAAACAATTAATGTGGCTGTTCCTGATGGCCATAATATTGAGGTCTGTAACGGGGTAGGTAATATTTAGCGTTGATATATCATTTTTCCTGTTATTATCATTTGTTGACTGTAATAGGCTCGATAATAAATCACAGAAATTAAAACGCAAAAACGTACAATGGTGACACCAATAAAAACTTGAGACACGTGTTGACAAATAGCAAGAATTGTTATTTTCTTTTTGTGATGTGAATTACAGAATATTGGTTGATGTATGTGAAAATGTTCTGTGTCTCTTTGTTTAAAAGCCAGTGCTTATTTGGTTTGGTTCCGAGAATTTTGTTTGTGAGGATGCGTTTGAAATACTCTGTTTTCGAAAGCTGTCAGAGGTTTTTTTTCTGTACTAATACTACTCGTCTACCCTACTACTGCCTACTTGTCTACTGACTAATGCTACGGGTACCCTCTTCTACACTACTTCACTGACTCTCATATTATGGAAGTGTGGCTGTTTTTATGATGATGATGATTAGGTAGGTGAAAATATATTTGTTATCATTACTGATGGCAATGTTATTTTAGAATGATGAAATATTATTTTTTTTTCATCACTGATGACAATGTTATTTTTAGAATGATGGAATATCATCTTCATTCTGGGCCATAGCAGAAACTTCTCCATAAGAACGAAATGTCTTGATCATAAAAAAAAAATTGACAAGGTTAAGAAGTGAAATGAACTAACCTCCGTATTGAGATTTCTAGAATGTCGCACGTTCAGCCCACTATTGTCCCAGCTATCATTTGAGCATTGAAGTCTATACCACAAAACATAAAGTCCTATATTAAGAAAATTGCAATAAAGACTATTAGACCATCGTTTCAAAAGAATGCGTTGCTAGGCACAGCAAATATTCTGTGAAAAATGCTATCTGTTTGAGTTCTTATGACTTAATTGTGATCCACCCAAGAAAACGAAAAACTGTCCGGATGTATAGAAAATAATAATAATGATAATAATCAAGTTTCAAACAGTTTTTAAATGTCTACATTAAATCCGCTTTAAGTAAATGACTTTAAAATCCTGAGACTATTTTAATACACCCTTATATATAATACTAATGTGTATAAAATATTAAGATCCTATATAGTCTCTTGTGGATGTGCGCGTGGTGTAAGGCATAGCAACTTGGAGCAAGAAATTGGACAGTCACGTTTGAATTCCAGTCGGGTTCGTTACACTCAAATATCTTTGGGAAAAGTAAGACTTTTCACTTTCCCCAATCTATGGGTTAAACAGTTGCATATGTGTGCGGGAAAAAAAACATTTCCATTCCAAAAGATTTTACAACGGACTATTAACATGCTAAAAAAATGATTATTATTACAATCCAAATATATGTTTTGCTTTAAATAACGCATAAAGGGTTGAAAAACCGTCAAAAATGATCGGTCAATCAATACGAGGGTGAGCTGAAAAGTTCATAGGCTGAATATGAAAGATTGATGTTAGAGTTGTGAAATGTTGATGGATTAATTTCAACTCTTCTTTGTTTATTTCCAGGTAACAAATATCTCACTGTTCATGCTTTTGGTAAAAAAAAAATCAACTGTAGATAGGACGTTATTATCACCGTGATACTGGCTCCCAGCCAAGTATTTTTTCATGTTGGGCAACAGAAGATAATCAGATCAAGACAAATGGGTGGGTGATACAACTGCTTCAAAGTTACAGTCATGCACAGCACTTGTGTGCTAGAGCCTTATACTGATGAAACAAAACCACTTTCTCCCGTCTTCCTGGGTTTTTGGTCTTAATCGCTTTTTGCAACTACCTCAGCAAGTCAGCATAGTACTCTCCACTAATGGTGTAGCCCTTGCGAAGATAGACACATGACAAAATGCCTTTTGCATCTCAAAATACTGAGCTCATCACTTTTTCTGCGGATAAAACGACCATTGCTTACTCTGGAGCAGGTGAGTAGGGGTGTTTCAATTGCATGGACTGTCGCTTTGTCTTTGGTTTAAAGTGACGGACCAGAAACTCATCCTGGAAATCGGAAACGTTTAAGGAAACCAGCCAGATCTGCCTGAAATCTGCACGATATTGGCATCCACCGAATAAAAACCCAGCATGACAGAGTTGGCCAATATCTGCACTGGGAAATCTGTAACTTCTACGGGAAGGAAACTGAAAGAAATTGGTATGAACACTACTCAGATCCGGTTACGGAGATAGGACCTTTTACAATTTTATGGGACTACACAATACGCGCAGACAGAACAAACAAATATAACCGCCCAAACATTGTTATTAGAGAGCGCAAACAACAAAAAAGTGCCTCCTTATTGATATGGCAGTCCCTGCGGGCTGCAATGTATCAAAATACAAGGACTGTAAAAATCAAAATCTGAAAAATGTGGCACATGGAAACCAACACTCTTCGGATTGGTTGGAAAAGATTCTAGTAGACTAACTGAAGGGATTCCTGAAAGTCTATGCCTTAAAGAAATACAACAAATTGTTCTAACGAGTACAGCCCCCACCTTACGAAGAGCTTTATCTATGTAAAATATTGTGTGTCAGTGGAAAATGTCATGATGCCATTTCTAATCTTAGGTCTCTCGGCAGGCCCTGAAGAAAATGTGTACATACAAGAAATCAAAGGAAATATAATAATAATAATAATAGCAACAACAACAACAATAGTAATAATAATAATAATAATAATAATAATAATAATAATAATAATAATAATATCATCATCGTGGTATCATGTATACATAAAATAAGTTGACGAGTAAATCTAGAAAAAAGAAAATACTTTTGACAGAGCCTAATATATAAGAACATTATAATAATAGTCTTTTGTTGTGTAAATGAACTAAGCTTTCTAAAATCTATAAAAAGCGAAAATATTTGTGATACAGAGGAATCAAATACAAACTAAGTGAAAAACGCGCTTTATATTGTGAGAAATACATCATATCATTTACATAGATTATTATTCTAAACGTTTTCGCTTTTTCTTGACGTAGTCAGTTTTTTGTTTTTCCAAATTGTCGATGTTTGATCCCGGTTAACAAGGTGACGATCCAAATTTTTCTTTTTTGATTTTTGTTTTCTTGCATTCCTAAGTATCTTTGTCTATTTCTTTTTGGATTCTATGCTTGGCTCCTGAGTTTGTTTTTGAACCAAAAGAAATTTGTTCAGTTTCTGGAATTTGGAAATGTGTCTAGACGTGATCTGGGCGCCCTTGTATAATGGATGTTTATTTTGCAAACGAGAGAGGAGGAGTTGGAATGAATTTGTTACTTGTGTCAAAGTTGACTCGTATCAAAAATATAGCGGTTGTCAAACCTCTAACATCTGAAGTTTCGCTTTCCCCTTTCTTGGCTAACATTAGTCATCTTTTGACGGAAACAATCGAGTTTAATTTCTTTTCTTCTATATGTCCTGTCCCTTCTTCATAATTTCCTCTCCTTTGTCTGTCTTAATAAAATTTGTCTTTTCGCCCTCTCCCCCAAACCCTACTCCACATTCCATTCACTCAAGCTCTCTAGGTAGGTTGTGCATTGCTTTCCTTTGTCTCTCTTCCCTCCAATCTGTCCTGTGAGTATCAAATTTTTCAAATTCCATGATACGCCCGAGTGAATGCTAGGGCGTCCGCTGCATGTGTATCCGATGCGCCGGTCTTCTGATCGGCGAGAAATCAGCAAGCCACCACAGTCCTTGCAAGAAGAGATGAGATGAAGATTGCTGGCTGGAATCTCCGCACTCTTCGCGACGAAGGAACGCAATCTCTCACCGTCAAGACTCTGTACAAGTATGGTGGTTGTGTCGCCTGTCTGTCAGAGGTCCGCCTCCCGATTAGCGGGCATAGAATAATGAAAGTGCCAGAGCCTGACTGTGTCTACCACCTTTACCATAGTGGAGTGGAGGACAACAGCGGGCTGTATAGAGTGGCGATTGCTCTCAGCTCAGTGGCACGGACAGCACTGCTCGCTTGGGAACCAGTCTCCAACAGGCTGGCCATGAATGCAGCGGAGGAGGACAAGGACATTTTCTACCGCGACCCTCAAGCGGTTGTAGATCGTACACCTTTCACTGATCTTCTAGTGGTAGCAGCGGATTGGAACGCTCGCACAGGACAGGAGGATGAAGGCACCAGGCATGTTCTAGGTCGATTCGCCCTCGGAACACGGTGTGACAATGGCGACCGTCTAGTCAACTTTGCAGTCGCTAATCGACTTGTGGTGACTAAACACTCGTTTCCAGCACCCGCGATGACATCTCGTCACCTGGCGTTCCAATGACGGTCTTACATCCAACCAGATTGACTACATTCTGGTACGAGTGAGATGGGAAAGCTCTGTACTTGACTTTCGAGCATCTCCGGGTGGGGGGTGCAAATACGGGCAGTGCGAATGGATCGGATCATACACTTGTCCGCGCAAGCCACCGTCTGCGACTGCGGGCAAGGAGATCCACCAAGATCCTGAAGCGAATCAACGTCGCTAATCTGAAGCTACACGCCTGGGGGAGAAAACGGTTCGGTATGGAACTTCGCAATCGTTTCTCTCTCCCCCAACCAAGCTCAGAGCCCGATACAGAAATTGAATTGCAGGCTCTCAAATCTGCCACCGTCAAAGCGGCACACGCCCATCTTGGTGTCACCCGTCACCGCTATCGGGACTGGACCACCGGGGAGAGCCTTCGGCTGGTGGGGGAGAGCTTTCGGCTGGTGTGTGAGAGCCTTCGGCTGGTGGGGGAGGTGAGGGTAGCGCGACTTACAGGAGCTGCGAACTTTCGCGATCTACGGCGCCGCGCAACTCACTCCATCGGCGCTGACCGAAATGCGCATTGGCGTGCCTTCACCGAAGAGACTGAACGTGCAGCAGCCTGTGGCGACTCTCGCAAACTCTACCAGATGGTGAGGCGGGGGAGTCGCTGAACAACGGGGGTGAGTGAGACGCTTCGCTCCCGAGATGGTGCTATTATCGCAGGTCCGGGCGAGCGGCTAAATCGGTGGAAAGAGCATTTTAACGAGCTACTCAATCATCCGACACTGGCGACGGAAGTGGCCGTTGAACCGACTAATGAATACGACTGCAACACTGCACCCCCAACGGTAGATGAAGTGCGAGATATTCTGCGACATCTGCGTAACAACAAGGCTACTGGTGAGGATGGTATACCTGCAGAAGTATATAAAGCCGTGCCAGATGTATTCGCCTCGTGGGTGCATTGTGCCTTCAATGCGGTCTGGCTCTCTTAGACCTACCCTACCGATTGGAACGAGGCCATCCTACTACCTTTTTTCAAAAAGGGTGATAGAAGACTGCTCGAACTACAGAAGAATCAGCCTCATCGACGTGATGGCCAAAGTATTTGCAGTGCTTCTCCTGCGTAGATTTCAAGGCATCCGTGATCTGTGAACTCGCCCGTCTCAGGGTGGCTCCCGTCCGGGCAGAGGCTGTGTTGATCAGATCTTCAGCCTGTGGCGCACTCTCGAACAACGCTGGGCATACCAGCAACCAACAGTCCTCTGCTTCTTCGACTTTGCGGCTGCTTTTGACTTCGTTGATATGTTGTATCATACAGTATATTTTATTATTATATGAATTTATTAGCAGTTTTTTAAAATATAGTAAATTACAAGGACACTTCGACATAGTGTAATGGTCAGCGAGTTTGTTTCGCTAGATCAATTACGAGCGAGTAGTGAATTCGATTCTCTATGAGTGCTCCTTAATTTCGGCCTTGTGCTATATCTAAGCAGAGCTTAGTATATCACTATAGGGAGTTTCGGATATTGATGATGAAATCTGATCAGATAACATCTGTCTAATATGTTCTTCTCGGTTTAGTTTTCTGGTGATAATTAAATTGCATTAACAAGAAGGCCTTCCAAAAAACACCTCGCCCAACTTCTGTTTGACAACTTGTTCCGCCATTTTATATTCACGATTCGTCGCCTACTATTGGAGAGATCAAATGTATCACTAACAACTTGGCGCAGTCGCCATATATCAAGCTAAAAAAAAAAAACAAGGTAGCGTTAATCACTGTATCGTTGGTCAAAATGGTGAATGCTTATGATGACGAATATTTTTTTACGCTACTTGATCTGAAAAAACATTCCATTAATTTAAGAAAATTTTCTTGAGGTGTATTATTTCAGGAAGCCCGAACACTCGACTTTAAAAAAAATATATATATTTTGCAAGCTATCCGTGATTTGTTTATTTGCTGTGAAGTAAAGAAAAAAAAAACTGGGTAAAAGTCTTCGTGTCAGGATTTCAAACTAGCGGGCAGGCACTGACAACGACGTATGCATGTATGTCTCTGTGTGTGTGTGTGTGTGTGTGTATCATCATCATAACCACCACCACCATCATCATCATCATCATCATCATCACTGTCGCCATCATTTGTTGTATAATCCATTGGAGAAACCATTTGTTAACTCTTATTCATCGAATTGTTTTTAGTTAAGCAGTTTTTTTCGAAACCTAATATAGACATTGCTTGAGGCATATCTATCAATTTTTGACCTCAGAGTGCGCATTCTAGATGCGTTGCTACCAAAGGCTAGATAACCCAGTCTGTACTTTTATTTAACCCATAGCTTAGTGGGGAAGAAATATTAAATATTCACACCTTTTTTAACGCTACTTATAAAGATGACGGTCTCGACTTTAGCTCAAAACTCTCTTTCCGATTCGTCATTCATTGTCGTCATTCATAAGACCACGCGTACATTATATCAATTAATGTATTTAGTTCTTGTCTTCGACGTTAAATAAAAAAAAAGATATTATTATATATTCCTTACAAGAATCTATCTTACATATTTATAAGTCTAATTTTTTAAGTATTTCACCCCAAGTAAGACGGAAGTGTCACTAGCACGCAAGGGGTTACAGAGGGTGAGATCAAGAGTAAAGAGGGTTGTTTGAGAAAAGGTTACAGAGAAAGACGGAGATCAGGATCAAGTCATCAGAAGATGTCGATTGACATTACATTTGGATATTTGAAGATTTTAGCCATTAAAGATGTAAGCAATAAGAAGGAAGTTCCACTATTGGGAAGTGCGAGATAAGAAGCTATTGGAGTAGAAGAGACGGCTACATTTAACCGTTTCGACAGTGAAAAGGTGGGACCGAGATGCCAACCTAGTAGCACGCTTAAATTCATGCAGCTGGGGTGCAAGTGAAAGTAGCTCGTCAGTGCAGTTGCCATGAAAATATTTGTAGAAAAGACAGACGGGAAGATAAATCACGTCTGTGAGAAAGTGTGTGTAGACGATATGCCAGATCAGGGCCTATCACATGGCATACCCATCTCTGGATTTTTGTCGAGGACCTCGAGATGAACAGCGGAGACACCAGACCATATATGGCAGCAGTATTCAATGCAAGGACGAATGGCAGATTTGAAGGGTGTAATAAGGCGAGAAAAACCTTCTGGCGCGACACACAGAGCAAACTTTCCTTGCGGTTGCCACATCTGGTCTCGTGCTCTTGCGATAGATTTAGAGATTCTTGACAAAATCCAAAGAAGAATCTGCAATGTTTTTGGTCCTGACATAGAATATCGGCTTCAGTCATTTTCTCACCGCCGTAACGTAGTCCCCCTGGGTCTTTTCTATAAATACTTTCATGATAATTGTTCTGATGAAATTCTCTCTATGGTACCTCAACTATTATAAATTTAAGCGCAATACTAGATCCGCGGTATGGTCTCATTTGTTTACAGTTGAAATAGCTAGACGTAACCGTAGGTTCTATGTTCATAGTTTCTTCGATCGCACTTCTCGATTGTGGATCTCTCTAACGGCTTCTTGTCTCTCAGTCAACATTGATGTTCAAAAATTTAAAATATAATATCAATCGTTATGTTCTTCTTAATTTCTCTTCTTTTATTGTTTTCTCTCCTTAATAGTGTTTTCTTTTTCTCATATACTCACTTTGATCTTCAAAAATTTAAATGAAATGTCAATCGTTATCTTCCGTCTTCTTAATTTCTGTCCTTTTATTGTTCTCTCTCCTTAATAATGTCATATTGCCTAACACTCAGTCACCACCCTTGCGTCTTAGTGACTTGATTGCCTTGCTTCGGTGAAATGATGTTTAAAAAAGTTCTGCTGCAACGTTAAATTTATTAAAGTCATTGAGACGCTTCAAAAGAAGAACCCTAGTTTGGCACAAGGCCACTGCAGAATGAATCTCGATGCACGAGCTAATGGTTTGATAAACTAGCTTGCTAAATGTCACTCTACGGTAGGCACACCCATGATAGTTCCTCGTCGTGTCTTTGCAAAATCATCCAACCTGACAGCCTAGCATTTTATTTATAGCCTGAGACTCCTCGAGCTGAAAGTTATTTTTGGTCGTATGACGTCATTCATCATTCTCCGGCAAACAATTGTCCAAAGAGCTGATTTTGTCCGTAAGTGGATAACAGAAAAACTGAGGAACAGTCAGTAATTCTAAATCTGTTTCTTTTTATCGCTCTAAGCTACAGATTCCAGTGACACGTCTAGAAATATGTTAAGAAAAAAAACTTACAGCCTTAGAAATCCGTCATGCTACTCTTTCCTCACTGTCTTTCTGCGGAAAAAAATGAAATAAATTTAAGCGTGATGCTAGATGGGCATTTAGGTCCCACCCTTTTTACTATCAAAAATGCTAAAGGCAACAGCAACTTCTACTCCAACAGTTTCTTTTCTCACACTTTCCTCCCCCGTTTATTTGCTTCTTTGCTAAATGCAATCTTCAAAAATTTAAATGCAACATCAGTCACCATCTTCTGTTTTCTTGAATCCCTTTCAACTTTTCTCCTTTTTTCAGTCTTCACTATTCTTGTCTTTCTCTTTCAATCCCTGTAATCCCTTGAGCACGGGTAACATTCCCACTTTGTTTAAGATGAAATGGTTAAAAAAAAGAAGATAACAAGAGAACGTTGCAGCAATATTGTCGACAAAGGCGACTAGAGATCCCATATGATTATCACTTTTTTGGATTTGGTTTTATACGAGATGGTATTTTAATAATAGTTAGAAATGCCCATGGAAATACCATTTTTTGCTATTTAAATGCTTTGGATTCTGTAAAAAATTCTTTTTTTATCATTAATTATTTTCTTGTCCAAAATAGACATTTTTCTGTATCAAGCAAAACAGAATGGTGATAATTATGTAAGGGCATATCATCGTGCATCTATTGCTCAGAACTGAAGACTTATCATCTCAAATCCGGTTGACTTTCTGAGAACGATTTTTTCTTTTTGTTTTCAGTTTAGGTTTGAAATT